CTAATCTATTTCTAGTTCTTTGATGTGCTCTGAGAAAAGTACTGTAAAAACCATTACTAAATTGCATTGTCAATGAATAACCACACTTTACATATTAGATGTGACGGGCACTTCTCCTAATAAATACACTGAAGTTAATGAAATCCAATATAGGACCTGTCGAATACGAATTGAACAGTTGTTAGTATGCGTCACTAATTATAAGGCATTATTAGCACCCATTGTTCACCCACGCGATGTGACATATTCGTGCACTTATAACTGACAAACATATTCAGCAAAGAAAACGCCTGCGCAGGTACAAACATTGTCATAAATGCTCTCGATGTCCTCGTAATTGAATGCATATTACTCTCACAGACCTCACGGAGTCAGCCAGCAGTCTCTTATTCGAATACTGTAAATGCTGTTTTAGTACTCGATAGAAGCAAAGCGATATAAATACAGACTAGTGTGTTTTAATAAATTACCTAAAAGCTTAAGAACAAGTTATAGTATAAGTTATATTATATACATTGGCTAACTATACTGCATTGATTGCTCATATTTAAGGTGTAATACGAGTACATTAACTTGTCAAACGATAAATCTCACATCCATATATGCACTATCGCGTAACTTGCACAATGGTTCATAACCACGGCAATTGAATTAGATGTTACGAGTAGAACAAATCGATTTTGTGTCGATAAGAGCGCTTAATCGAATCAAATGTTCTAGAGTTCATCACTCTTTACGATAACGATATCATCTTATTTCTTTGACTCACTATTGCATCAAACATTATTTGTGTCAGAACAATTACTCTGGTTCTTAATCATTTCGATTGCATGTGTTTACAATGGCGATGTTTTAAAGTCTTATGAGAAGTACTACTGATAAAGATTAAAATTAATTAAATAGTTGTTACTATCGAATAAATGAATCGGGCTTTAAGTAAGTTACCCAATAGCTTAATTTGTGAGGTTGTAGTTAACAACTACTTATGTGGTTTCTCCACACAATAATCTTATGATTGTCTGTAACGATTTCAAAGAATCAATTAGATTGCCGTACAATGGGTAATTGATACAGAGGATTCTACGGAATTAGGGGTTTCGCTGAATGTTGAAATGTTCAATTGTTTGGGGCTTCACACCTTAGCAACGGTGATTATAAAGAATTAGGTCGTTTGTGTCGACATCCCACGTATGAAAAAAAAACTTATTTTTGATTGAAATAATTTAAGGTTGAGACTCATTGCATTAGATTATTTTCGCATTTATTAAATTCATTTATGCTAATTTATATGTGAGTATGTAAATAATAATACATGGATGATGGTAACGATAAATATTTGGTTTTAATTTATATTTTTTGTTAATTTAGTATACTGAAAACATCATAAAATCTAATGCTGTATGCTATACAACGATGTTATGATTCATTGAACAAATATAAAATATCTCATATGTCAACACTTTTCAAACCAAAACTCCAAAGATTATTATTTATTAATTGGCAATCTTTGCCTGTAAAGAAATTGCTTTAAGCGATAAGGTTTCCCTTCGTATAGATTTACGATACGTATACTTTTCAGGAAATAGTTTTTCGTGCTCAATAAAGTTTATTTTGATTCAATTCTCTTTCTGACATACCTTTCTGAAAATATTGAGATATTTAGCCCACTTAGTTTAAGTAATGTTAAATGTAGGTTGCAGGTATTATTCTATTGCATTTATTGCATTTCTTTTAGTATAGCGGCGAGGCTTGGTTTTACAGGCTAACGAAATCGTACCTTCATATTTATTTCTTAAATATACCACAGTTAGGGGTAGACAAGTTTTTATACCTATGCTAGGAATCTGGTTCTTAATGTAAATTTACACAGGCGCTACGAATATAATTTTTGTTTTAAGTACTATAATATTATTTTATATTTCATTTACTGCACATCGTTCAAGGGCGGCGGTAGTCATTTTCCCATCGCGTGACCTGTCTGATCGTTTATTCCCTAATATCATAAAATGCCCTGATTCTATAAAACCGTTAAAAGTGTGGTAACGAGGCCTATTTTGCAAGACAGTGAGTAACCTATGTGATACGATATATATAACCTACGATATGACACGCTTGAGATATAATAATATCTAATACACTTTAAATTTATAAGTGTATAATCAAAATAAGTAGAGACTATGAACATAATATATTTCTTAGTAGGGAATAGCAATACTCTTAAGTGTGCCCTGAATAAACATACGACAGTGGTACAGTATTTGCATTTTGGAATTTTAAGTATTTTTCTAAAAAATGTATAAAAGTATTTCTATTGTTTTAAAAAAGTGTCGTAAATGGTGTGAACGGTGTCAATGCATACGTAAAAGTAATTTTATCATGTCTTGCGCACAGTACTTTTTTCTGCATTAAAAGTTTGTCTTATACCTATCTCGCTCACTATCTATCCGTTTCTTTTCTTTAACGGTTTTATAGAATCAGGGTATTTTTATGATATTAAGGAACAAACGATCAGACGGGTCACCCGATGGGAAAGTGACTACCGCCGCCCTTGAACGATGTGCAGTAAATGAAATATAAAATAATATTATAGTACCTAGAACAAAAATTATATTCGTAGCGCCTGTGTAAATTTACATTAAGAACCAGATTCCTAGTATAGGTATAAAAACTTGTCTACCCCTAACTATGGTATATTGAAGAAATAAATATGTAGGTAATACGATTTCGTTAGACTGTAAAACCAAGCCTCGCCGCTATACTAAGCATTAAATAAAAATCAATGATGTATCTAATTACTTTATTATTCATAAAATGTAGTTGATAAAAAGATTATGTTTTGATCGCGAAATTCAAATCTTAATAAAGCGGGAAGTAGTTAATCATTGAATATAAAGATGATAACTTCTCACAGTTCGCTACACGAGCGGTGGATAGGAGTAACTGGATCGCAACCTTACATGTGGGAACCTCTCACGGTTGCTTCACACTAACTTGTTAAAGTTTAATTTCTAAATGTAATTTTCCTATTTATTAATATATATTTTTATATTTTGAATTATAAAACAAATATTCTTTCAAAAATGACAAATTTTGAAGTATATCCTATCTTTCAACAATTATGAACCTGCAGTGAAAAAATATTTAATTAATAAACGGCAATATAGAAAGCGTAAGGAAAATATACCGCGATAATCGACATACACGCGGGCGGAGCCGCTGGCATAAGCTAGTAATCCATATATTTATGTATATATTTGAATAATTTATTGACATAAATGCAATCTACCTTAAATATCTCGATGTCACTAAAGTTCAATTCATTCACACGGCCCTCTATCGAAATCTAAAATACAAAAAAAAAATCTCATGCGTGGGTGATATTTCTGTTTTCCTTAAGAGGCAAGCTTAAGTCATTTCTGCGAAACAAAATCGTTGAGGTCCTATAAGGCCTTGAGGCGTTTGTAATATGAATGAATCACTACTGACCCTTCCGAAGTGCAATAAATTTACTTTTGTTTGATTGATATCATCAAATCCAAGTTAATCCAATTTTCAGAATGCTTATGGGATTAGAAGAATTAATATATTACGGGTTTTTTGTACAGGAACATAAATAATTGCAAATGTAAAGTAAGTTTACGCTTGAAACATACTCGTTCCATAAATTGTTAGTGTAAGCAAATTTTGTAAATTTATGGCTTTGAAAGTGCTCGCTTACTTATCAGCGTGAATCGGGTTCGTTCGTGGAGGAAACTGACCACATATTTACCAGTTCGACATACTTACGGAATGAGTCACGTGCGTGAAAGTCCATTGATTATTATGTATATGATGTTATATGAATAACCCTAGTATAAATACACATGTCTACACAATCCTTTGCCACAAAAGGTATTTGTTCGTTAGAGTATTTTATAAGTATGTAGCATGGACGTATAAAAAAACTTTTTTCATACGTCCATGGTATATAGTTACTGTTTAAGTTTTTTGGATTATGATTCATCAAGTGCATGCATTTAAAAAAGTGTCCACAGCACTTAATCTTCAGGTTATGAACAAATTTAAATTTTCTATCTGAGCTAGATGCAAAAAATTCTTACGCTTAAAGAGCTTTCCTAACGTTCATGTTCTACGTGTATAGTTTCAAAAGCAATTAAGTTATTGTTAAATATAAATTCCATTTTACTGTGTAACACGTTTAAAGCACGTGTGTTTTTAAATGCAGTTTCTTGTAAAGTTTTATAACTTTATGGGCTTTTCTGCTTTATCTATTGAAATATAAACAAAGCATCGTTCCGACATAAAATTTTGAGATGGAGTTACACTATATGCTAATGAGTAAGAAAGAGATGAAGCATAACCCACGTGAGTTACGTTAATGTATTAACATTAGAAAAAAGCGTAGGTACCTGGAAGGTAAAGCCGCTCGGATCTCGCAGCCCCCGCACCTCGGCCTCTTGTCTCTATTCAGTCTGCTCGAGAGCCTTCGTAGAGTCGATCGTTCGCTACTTTTCTGTTGTTTCCGTGTATATGTATACTAAGACATTTGTTTAAAAAACCTTTACTGTAGTTCTTACAAATTGATATCAGTGAGCTTTAATAGTGCCTTAATTAGTGAAGTATTGCAACGCGACGGTTGTGTTAGTAGTTTATTTCCACCTTTTGCTTTTCGACACCTGTCGTTTTCGCGCCCAAAAGTTGAAGTTTCTTATTAACGTGGTAATAATTTAATTTATAATAGTGAAGTAGCGTACTGCGGTAGATTGGCATAACTTTACGTCTTTTACGTGTGCAGTGGAATTCAAATGAAAAGTTTCTCAATAGTACGTGTGTCGGTTACTTATTGCCATATGGAGTTGATTGCGGGCACAAAGACAGATATGTATATTTAGTGTGCAGCCATTGTTTGCGATAGGTATGGAGATTGAATCCAAATGAGTAGCTGAATATTTTGTGTTAAACCTGTAATTCGAACGAGTGATGCGGACTAAAGTGGAACGATGATCAAGTTTCGGTATAAGCGTAAAGAGTCGAGTGATGGCGGCAAGAGTGGGACAGCAATACAAAAGCAGAAAATCGAGGGTCTTCGAGATCGAGAATTGCTGCCACCGAAAGACATGTTGCTGACCGGCTCTCTGGCAGGCGTTAGGAACAACACTTTACCACGTTCACGTCCAGCCAGTTCAGCAAGACGAGAACCTGCTGAATCGCTTGTCAATCAAACAACAATTTCATTATTTAGAGTAAGTCTATCTATTGTAAATCTTATCTCTTCGTATTCTGTTTAAATCACTGTACTTTAAAATGTAAAGATTATTCAATTACTGCTAGATTTTATTTCTTAGAATCTACATATTTTGCCAACTCACTTAGTATTCAATCACGCCTCATCCTTAGTTGAGGTCCCTATTACCATTTCAATGTTTAAATTAACATGAGCCCGCGTTTGCCTTCAAAAGACATCAACGAAATAGTTGCAAATGTAATCGTGTCGTTACTTGATTTATTATGTATTGTTTCTAATTACTTTTTAAATCTCAGAACAACAAGTATTTCATGAATATTAATATCTTGTTGTTCGAGTAACTGGTTGAAATAACTTATTTCCTGGCTCGATTTGAATCTTAACTAGAGATGAATCGGGTAGCTATTAGACAGGATGCTGGCAATCCAACCACCCTTAAAGCTCGATGACCGGACTGAATAAATTCTAGCCGAACATTATCAATTGCTCATTTTGGATGTCGGACATAATACTACATGGCCGAGAAAAGAGCTTCTGATTAATCAGGCATGTGAGATGCGTTTTAAGTTGAATTAGAAAGTCTTTTTAAGTCCTTAAGACAATATAACTAATCTACGACAACGAATCTATATGACTTTTATGTGAAAAATTATCACCACACCTACTCCATGCTCTGCCTGAACTTTATATTTTATAAACACACACATTCCGTATAGTTCGGAGGTTACCCGAGGTGCAGCGCTAACTACCGGTGTGTAGGTCCCTGTACCCGATGTCGGTGGTAAGAATAATAACGTATATATTTCTTTTTTAGTTTATCTTTTTAGTATACGGCTGGATAGTAAAATTAGGCCGATATGCCGGTAACTTATAAAGTACGAATAAGTTTCATCTCTAGTCTTAACGTCATCTTCCTACCTAATCAATTTATTCTATCAATATACATACTTTTAAAATATAAATCTTGGATGTGGATGTATTTATTAGAACATTTCCTATAATTAATATATACATAGACAGCACAATAACAAAATAAATGTTTTAGAACTAATAAATGTTAATGAAAAAATACGTTCCATCGAAACAGAAAAATTAGTATCTTTGTATGTACAACAATAAGTTACTTAAAAACTGGCAGGGAATAAGTTATCGATGCGTTACCTGTCGCTGACCCTCCTAAAAGCTATTGTGTGAATGCCTACAAAGGCAATTTGTCTCGGGAATACATAAACTGCCCACTTAAGTATGTATGCGCAACCGTTCGCGGCTTGGTATAACTCGCGCCTTGAATTGACTATTGTCTCTAACTTCGTGACATACGCCAACATCCTACATATTTATGTTGAATTTTATTCTTTAATATTCATATTTCAACCACGTGCTTTATAATTTATTAATATTAATCACTTGCTAAGCTTTCAACTTTATGCCTCCTTGTTACTTAGGAACATCTATACAAATAAATAAAATTGAAGTGTCTGTTTGTAATGTCAAAATATTTTTTTTTTTTCATATTCACACGGTTATTTGTACGATACCTATGCCTAAAAACCACTTAATTTTTTTGTCTTAGTCTGTCTGTCTGTTTGTTCTGGTAATCTTCTAAACGGCTGGACCGATTTTAATAATATTTTACTACCAGATAGCTGTCTATATAAGGAGTAACTTAGGCTATTTTTCCTCTCAGAAGAACCTTTTTAAATGCACGGTTGCAAGTAACTTAAAGTGCAAGTATTTACATGTTCAAAATCCTTAACAGACTTCTTTTGACAATCGACTTTAAGTATGCTGAGCAAAATAAGTCCGTTTTAATCTATAAAACAGTAAGAGTTATAGAGTAAGTATTCACTGTACCGTGTTAAGAGTCGGCTCAAGTAAAAGGTATGCGGTGTAAGGTAACCCTGACCTGCACAAACTGCTAACATTTGGGATCTATTTGTGTCAATAAAAACCGTTTCGTTCTATATTTTTCGAACTTTAATTCTTAAATTGTCTGGTAAACGCAATAGGCGTGCCCCCTTTTTTGATTGGCCCCCATTGACCAAAAAAGCAAACCATTAGGCACAACATGTATCCTTCGGGGACATGACTTGAGAGTGTGTGAAATATATGATATTTAGATCAAGTCCAAAATATTTGGCCAAATATAGTGTATTCATTACCAAAGTAGCATCTTATACCGTAACGCAATAACTGCAATCAATTTCTTACTTATTTCTAAAAAAAATTAATCACTTAACTATATGTTACAGTGTATCTTGGCCCCTCTTTAAAACTCCTAACTACAAACAAGCAAATGCCAAAACATGAATCTCGCAATATATTTGGCTGCGTTATTTAGCCCCGCGGTGACAGCAATATTTATTTTAGAACTTGTTTATTTGTTTAACTTTGTTTATTCACAATTATAGCAAACTTTTCGTGTTGTATCGATCCACTTCATTAGGGTTCTTGTACTGGACTTTGGGTTTTTAACGATTTGGTTTATCTCCTTTACTGAAACTGCTGCTGACATGATGGATGATTAGTTTTTATGATATAAAATATTGCGTATTCTATGTGACACGATTTTCCTAGTTTTCTTGTTAAGATATCGATGTATCGAATGGCAACTACTAGGCTATTAGCGAGCATAAGAAGTAGCGTCAGAGCGTGTATCTGGGAAGGTTCAACGCATCATTCTCACAAAACAATAGACTGCATGTAGCGCGTTCTCAGGTTCTCACCGAGCGACGATGTACTACAAATGTCAAATGTATGATACTTTAGTTCCGTGTTTACTCATATCTTCGGTGTACTGTTGATAAATTATGAGAAAGAAGTTCACCTCACGTTTACAAATTAAACGGTGATTTCTGAAAACAGGAAGGAAAAAGGACTATACTAAATTGAAGACATTACTTGCTGCAGAATTTTAATTTGTTTCTGACCACAGCTTCGCAGCCATGTGCACGCAGCTGAACGTGAGAGCATATTGATTAATTATTAACGTAAACAGATTTTTACAAATCGGACATAGGCCATCTGGAAGTTAAGTTCGTGTGAATTATAAACACATACGACTAGTTGCTACAGATTTTTAACTTCTACCTAGGTAGCCAAGCAGGTGCCTATCGCTGTAATAATTCAAAAAAAATCCATAACGTTTTGATATCTTTCTTATTAAAATGTTTTATGGTGTTTGGTTTGCGATTTTTGGTGGTATTAATAATAGGAATGCATAGATACGTATTCAAAGCTATTTTTACGGAATCGATTGTGTCATGGTCGTTATTTACATCGTTTGAATTTAAAAAATAAAGAAATAATACACGATACTGACTATATTTGATAAGCTAAAGTATTTGTCCATTGTCTGAATGTCCCATTATCTTGATGATGAACAAGAGCAAAATAAAATAAGTACCGAATAGAATTAAAAGTTAACGAATTGTATTTAACAAACTCTTAATATTTTACTTTACTGGGAATAAGAACAACAAAATCTACGAGTTTATTAATATTTAAATTATTAGTAAGTATGATTGAAAACATATGTTGCTACATAAAATATAGAAGAGATAAAAAAAAAGACAAAATAAATTCCATGACTATCTTTCTAACGTCTTTAATAACGAGACGGTACTGTGTTCAGTGCTTATGTTTTTTAATGTTTAGTATCCGTTTTTATTTGAGTTTCTAGAGACCGCATTACCCTCATTGTTTCGACCAGATGATGCCTGCCTCCTAGTAGCCTCTTCAAAAAAAACAGCCCAAAGCCTTAGCAATGCAACACATTGCGCCTACTCCAAATAAGATTTGCATATGAATTTGTTGCCAAACCTTACATACTTACAAACTTTTATTATGTCATATAATGATATCACACCACTCATATCAAGCTTGTTTACGTGAAGCAGCCGGGGTAACATCGTATTCGATAATAATCGTGTTTATAAACTGCTTACTAACGGAAGGCACGGCGCAAGCTGCGTCCGCCTTGCACCGGAAAATGCGCCGTTTAGTTGTGCACTCAACACTATCAGCTTGAGTAGAAAAAATTGTTTATCAATAAAACCAAGTTAGTTTTGACTTACATTTACTCAATGCCTTTAGTACTTCAAAACGATGCTTTATTTAAACAAGAGTCCTTTTTACGAAAATTGAATCGTAAACGTCACCCAGCGCATCTTTTAGTATAGTAACAGTTATGAAAGCATAAAACGTTAAGCTATATCTACGTTTGTACATCCAATTACTTTGTAGGAACACGCCACATTTATGACCTTACTTGTATTCGTGCCATACTGGTTTTGTTCCAGTCTCGTGCTAGACTCTGGACAGCGATATTCAATCTTAATTTGCAGACGTTATAACTCACATTTGCAAAAAGCTCTATTACTTACTAGTTTCTTTGTGAAGAGTTAGCTTTACTTTTTGAATATATCTCTAAATCGCTTACCGATACAACTATTAAATGAAAAGTCATTTCATTTAATAGTTGTAAGACAAGACAAGGTTGAACATTTCCTCAAAAAAAGGTATAATAAAAACTTTGTACTGAAAATAATTTAATACGTTCTCATTTTTTTTACTTAATTGACTTAATTAGTAAGAAACTAACACGGCCAGTAAATTACGTATCTAATGTTAAGCGTATTTTGTTTGCAGGAGTTATTTACTCAGCTGCAATGGTCTGCCGAACGCGCGCCGGCTGCGGATGCCCTCCGTCGTGCTCTTGGTGGCGGTGGTGCTCGTTTCCAGCTGGGTTGCATGGCCGACGCTAGCGAATGTTTCGAGCACTTACTCCTTCGAGTCCATGCTCACGTGGCTGCTGGTTCCGGTGACAGAAGAGATGATGATGCCTGCAGGGCGCCACACTGCGTACCCCACCGTAAATTCGCTATGATGCTTGTTGAGCAATCAGTATGTGGCGCCTGTCAAGCAACTTCAGAACCTCTGCCATTCACTCAGGTACGCTTCAATAGTATTTTGGTCATTGCAAATAGAAAAAATAATTAGACACAGCACTTAACTTTCGACCACTTTCAAATGGAAATGGTCCCTTTAATCGCTTTTTATGATAACATAATATTTTTATGTTTGTTTGCAGATGGTTCATTACGTATCGGCAACAGCATTAACAGCTCAAGCAGCACTAGGTGAACATGGAGACAGTTTTGGACTGCTACTTCGAAAAGCTGGAGGAATGGGCGATATCAGAGACTGCCCAGTAAGTATTTTATGGAAATCTTAAAATTCTCATATCTCCCATACCATGATTTTTCGAGTGACAACAGTATGTACAGAATAGGATTTGGTCCTCCATGATTTGTGGCATTATAATATATTTAAGTTATCTTTTTATTTTTCAGAATGCCTGTGGGGCCAAGATACAAATATGCAGAACCTTAATGAATCGTCCTGAAGTAGTGTCCATCGGTATGGTCTGGGACTCAGAACGGCCTGCGGCGGAGCATGTGGCAGCGGTGTACGCGGCGCTTGGTACTGAATTACGGCCAACTGATGCTTTCCATGCGTGTGTCGATCGCGCGTGGGCCGCGCGAGCTACGCACAGACTTGTTGGGCTCGTGACATACTACGGCAAGCACTACTCCACCTTCTTCTTCCATAGTAAACTCCGCCTATGGATATACTTCGATGATGCGGACGTCAAAGAAATTGGTCCGGAGTGGTCACACGTTGTGGAAAAATGTCAGAGAGGACGATTCCAACCACTCCTACTCTTATACGCAGCGGTTGATGGAACGCCGTGTGACACTCGTCATGCTCCTAAAGATGTTGTTCCATTTCCTGCCCCTGAGCCACGACGTGCGGTAACACCTGCACCTGAACGTCCAACCACAGGATTTGCTCGACGAGCAGTTACACCAGGCCCTGATAACGAGCATGACTATGTTAGTAGAAAAGCCGTTGAAAACATACTAGACGTTCAAGCTAATCGACGAGCGCAACAACTAGCAAGAAGTTTAAGTACTGGTTCTGGATCTGACACACAAGAGAGGTCACGAGCAAGGAGGGACTCGGGAAATTGGAGTGGTGACCGGAATAGCGCATCATCTGCCTCGTCATCAACTGTTGAAAGCCCATATATGTATCCTAGAAGTCGAGGTGCTGGTAGCGTTCCTGGAAGCCCAACCCGCAAAGGGGAACTCTCCAGTGGAGGCTCCTGTGATGCGGGGTATGACTCATATTCCCTGTCATCCACTGATAGCCTTCCCCTGCAACAGGGTTTACGTCACAACTTACAAAACTTACCACTAGCTCAAATACCTGAAATAACTACACGGGGCCATTGTGAAGCTCTTTGTTTAGAAGCTGACGGGTTATTAGAAAAGTCTCGTCATGCAGAAAACTCGGCTGATTACGAAAATGCTTTGGTTTTATGTGACGCAGCTGCTTCTAAAGCTCGTGCAGCAATGGATGCTCCTTACAACAATAGTCATATGGTAACATTTGCTCGCATGAAACACAACACTTGCGTGATGCGTACTCGCAGTCTTCAAAGACGAATGGCAGGCATGACCAGAGTCACTGAGATTCCTCAAGCAGCTCCGATCAGGAATACAAAAGGGGGCCTAGAAAGTTCACCGGTCACAATCGAAATCTACGCCACGTTGCCGAAAAAGAAAGGATCCTCAAAAAAATCTCCTAAATGTATTGAGGATGATATCGATACTATTCCACGTGACCGACCTCCGAGACATAAATCTAGGGATGAGGATAAAGTTAGAGAAAAGCGATCTAGAAGCGAGGACAGAAGTAGAGGTCGAAAAGAACCCATCGTCGTAAAAATTAATGAGAAAAAAGAGGAATCTGCAGAAGATAAAAAAGCTAATAAGAAACAACACAAAATTCGTAGAAAATTATTGATGGGTGGCTTAATACGAAGAAAGAATAGATCAATGCCAGATTTGACTGAAGGTGCCGACGGAAACGCTGAAACAACGAACAAAGAAAAACGTGTCTCATCAGTTGATGACACTGAAGTCGGCCGTACGGTTGAAGACAAAACAAATCTTAGTGGATATTTATCAGAGGGACATTTAGAATATTCAGTTACCAGCGGTACTAACCCAAACCTTGAGAGAAGTAAATTGATGCGAAAGAGTTTTCATGGCAGCGCTGGTAAAATGCTAACAGCGGCCAAAGTACCCCCACCACCACCTCTACGAACTACTTCTCAACTTACCGCTCCCAAATACGCCTACATGGAACATGGAAAAGCCACTTACCCTAATGAAATTGAAGAAGATGGCGGTTTTTCAGAGCAATACGGCGATGAGCCCCAGTCACTTCCATTCCTTCATTCTTACGAAGAGAAATCTGCCGGTCACTATGATAGGCTAGACAACTCACCTTCACAAAATTTCCACACAGTAGTGACAAAAGCTATGATTCATCAAGAACAAAGTCCAGTAAAGAGAGACACTTTACCGCCAATACAACCACAACATAATACAATACAAACTTATAATACAATACAAAACCTCACTAACACTTTCGATAACGGTGTTGATGTGGTAGATTGCGCAATGCCTAGAAGATCACCCACAATGTTCGAACTGCCTCCTTATCCTAGTCCTATGAACTCTGTCAACCACTCGCGACAACCCAGTGAGGAGTTTCCACCTCCTCCTCCACCCATTGATCTAACGCCGTTGCATGATGAGCTAGAAATGATCCAAAGCCTTGACCCAAACTTTGATAGAGATGTTCCTGGCATAAAAGGCTTGCTACTCTCGAATTTGCAAGATAAAAGGAATCAAATACTCAGAAATACATGTGAACCACTACAAGTAGAACATCATGTTGAAAAGTTAACTACTCCACCATCATTGTTAAAAGAGCTGCAAGCTAAACAAGCAGCATATAAGTTGAAGAGATCTGGATCACTGGAAAGACAATTATCGGGTCCCGAAGAAAATCACTTGGTGTTCGAGAATAATAACAACGTAAGGAGTATAGCTTCCAGATTCGAAAGCAACTCCCCAAATATGAGCCAAGAAGGTGACAGATCACAATTAGGTTTCGTGGGTATGAGTGGCAATAGAGATGTTATAAACTGCTCCGACCAATCAAATGCTGGACTTAACCGACGGGCATCTGCTTCTTCCATTGAATCTAAACAAATCGAAGAAGAGTCTTGCGATCCGAAGTCCGTCACTAACGCTTGCAGTGACCGTTCTTCTAAATCTAAAAAGAAATCGGTATCCTTCTGTGACCAGGTAATCCTAGTATCTACAGCCGAAGACCAAGAAGATGATAGTTATATTCCAAACCCTATTTTAGAAAGAGTCTTGAAATCGGCTTTGAATAAACCCGAATTGACAACAATGCCTCTGCAATCAGATAAGCCATCTCTCCAGCGGCAAGACTCCTTCGACAGTCAATCTTCGCGTTCAACGATATCCTCGTTATCACAAAACTCGTATGTGGCTAATAACAATCCACAACAAGAACGTGCTGAGTATGTCCGTCTACATTACAACCAACCGACTTACCAACCGACACAGAATCTTTTGCAACAACAGTACAATATGCAGAAGAATAGCAATGTTTACGGTACAAACTCAGCACTGCAAACTGCACAAAGTCAAACCCATAACAATAATCAGAACTGCCCATCTCTTGCTACCAATACACCACTAAACACTACGAGTCCAATACCATACACTCAACCCCCGTCAGTATATGCCAATCACAGCAACTCAAGCCCACCGAACTTTAGCCAAAATCCTGCGAATAGACTGACTCCCATACAACACAATGTTTACATGTCAAAGCATCCCAGTAATTTACAGAAGTCAGAGCCTAACATATGTCAGCATCAACCTTCTCAACTTCAACTGAACCAGCCAAATCAAACGATCACCAACGCGTACTACCACAGAGTACCACAAACATCGTCTGCTTCGACAATGCCTAACACAAATTACAACACAAACCGGCAATACTCATCAAGTAGCAACCATTCGCCTTATCAAAGCGTGCCCACCAATTTACCGGCTTATCAAAGCTCTCATAACCCACCGACTAGCTACGTAAGTTCCGAATATTCTAGTCGATATCCATGGCCGAACAACAGTACAAATCACTACACACAGTCACCATATCAGAGAGTACCGCCACCTCACGGCGAGTTACCTATAGACATCGATACATATCCACAGAAAAGGCCAACGAATTATAGTGTAGAAGACACCCAACCTCGCATACAAGATACGAGGCATTATGCCAACTCGCAGCAGCAGCGCTTGTACAACCAGAACCCAGACATGGATGTAACCAATGAGCAAGGACAATACCAGTACAACCAAAACGGTTACAACCCATATCAACACATACCGCTTATACAACCGAAACAGATGCAGAAAAAGTCTGTGTCGTTCGAACCTGGTACGAAGGGAGGGACAGATTCGCCAATTCCTCCCCAAATGAACATCACCCCTCGTTGGATGGCAATGGCGGTTAACGAAGGACAAACGGCACAAAAAAGCCTATGTAACTTGTGTCGAAAGAAAACTGTAAACCCTCCAGCGATGTACTGTCCAGATTGTGACTTCTATATGTCTAGGTTCAAGCCCCGTTCATAGCATTAATTTAATTCATACACATGCTCAATAATTGTAATATATAAAACTCCGGTCACGCGGTTTGGTCGATTAAATAACCTTCCGTAGCCCCTTAATGTTTTGATATTCAGTCTCTTCGAATGTTTTCGATATGTACCTATAAATACTGTTAAGTATTAAAGTAAATAATGAAGTTTAGCTTAGGTGTAAACTAAAAACAAAATTATGTATGAAATAAAACAAATTATTATAATAGCTTTTAATATTAAGGCTTGACTGATGATCTCATGTGAGAAAATATTCTTTTAAACTTTCCATAAATTATAAATGTAAGTTTTGTACGATTCTAATGTACCTATTACTCATAAAGTGCCTTAGGTCCTTGAGACTGGTATATATTTTTATAAACACATGAATAAATTATTTCCAAGAATTTTCAGTGTTTTATTTCATTGATATTTTTATCTATGTTGACTTAGAATTGATCATTGTCCGTGTGGTGACGGATTAAGAATGCGGGTGTTACAACTCCTATGGGAAGTGACAACCGCCGCGCATAAACATCTGCTACTCAACAGACACAACTGCGTTGTCGCCCTTTGATTTTTGGGCAACAATTTACGTATAGGGAAAAGGTACACGTAAAATTAGAAGGATTGTTTCAGTGTTGAATTTCGTTAGATATTTTTTTTTAAAACGTTGACTTCAACAACGAACTGAGGTGGTTTTATAGATTACTGGTTATTGCCTGAGCCTCCGCCAGCGTAAATGTCTTTTACCACGGTAAAAGGTAGGTAGTCTATGTCTCTCCTCAAGAATCAAAGTATCTCCATACGAAGTTTCATGTAAATTGGTTCAGCCGGTTCACCCCCTTAAAGCATGATTTCTAGGATAAAACTTCTACCCTATGTCCTTTCCTGGGACTGGGACTATATATATATATATATAGTCCCAGTCCCAGGAAAGGACATCATATCATATATATATATATATATATATATATATATATATATATATATATCAATCCCCTACAAACTAAACTGTTAAATTATAAAACTGTTTTGAACAAGTTAATACTATATATTAACTTGTTCAAAACAGTTCTTCGGATGTCTCTCTTGTTATTCACCATGCGAAATAGATCCACAGCACTCGCGATCCTTTCTCGGTTGCTTCGTATCCATAACTATTTCTACTTCTTAATACCATTAAGGGCCATCATTCAGAGTTTCTTGAGGTGTTCTTTACTTGTCCACGCACGCCCTACATCTGTAAAGATGGTTAGTGGGTAGGTACCGTCTTATCTAAGCAACTATGAAATTTGGTTTAGACGCCCGTCCATCATACGCCACACTGCGTCGATAATTTGGCGCAGGTAATTTGGGCATTAGGGAGGTTACTGAGATTGGGAGTAGGGATAAGCCGCGACGGAGCCGGCTGTTCCCGCTCAGGGCGATCCGCCCGAAATTAGGCGAACTGAGCGCTGAACTCCGCCAATTTGTTAACCGCCTGAAGACAAGTCACGTCGCCAATAAGGGTTTCCACGACCCCAGTAACAGCAGAAGAGGAGTCCTCAAGGGCCCTAACAAATAAACTCTTAAGGTTACTCGACTTGGTGGCCACCTTGTGGATGACAGCCACCGCCGCTCTCGCTCTCTCCTGCATGTCCGATGGTGTTAGGGGGTCAGAACCCTCTACCATCGGATCCTTGACTTTCAACAGGAGATCTGCAATCTCTTCCGCTGCGTTTACGCCGTCCGCCCTGACTCGTTTATAGCTGATCCCGCGCCGTCTGGCGAAAAGAAGGATCTGGAACGCAGACGTTCCGATGTTCTTCGGCTCCCAGGAGGTAGACTGACTTCTGCTGACTGGTGCTGTGATAGGCGTCACGAGCAACAGTTGCTCCTCGTTGGTCGAGAAGTCATCCGCTCTTCCACTTTTTTTGACGAGCGGTCTTACACCACTCGCTTATTTCTTCGGAACTCAGTCGTCCGCCGATAAACTTCGGCGAGCACTTCCAACTCCAAGTCCCAGGAGGAGTTCCGGCCAACGCACACGCAGCCTCCGTCGACACGGTGCGGTGCCACCAGCCGCCTCAGGTACTCTGGCACCCCGTGATGGCGGAGTGCTTCCCTGATGCAGCTGAATGGCAGACTATTGAATGCGTTGGCAATGTCCAACGACACCGCCAACAACACGCCTCCACCGCTCACAGCCTCTTCGGTTGCGGCCCTCTAAGTATAGTTTGTAGAACTGACTTGAGTGGCCTGAGCTACCACAACGGGCAAGTATCATTCCCGAAACAAAATCGCTCCTAGAAGGCTGTGATGGCCCCAGGAGGCTTAAGCGCTTCTGGAAGGAGCTTGGTTGGCTCACCCAGCTAACCAGTCCTCGACGCATAAAGGACCACTCTTGAGTCTAAATGTGGAAACCGAAGCCCACAACCAATACCAATACTAGCGATCCGCCCCTTCTTCGCACGGATGCAATGTAGATACTACTAATGTGGTGTCAGGGTTGAGTAATTAATTATAGGTAATATTCTTATGATAGGACTTTACTGCAGGATATCTTTAAATGCAATAATATTATTATTTATAGGCCCTATCCAATACTGCCAGCCGCTCCCACTCGAGACGGACGTACTGCTCTAATATCTTCTAAAATATTTATTTTAATGATATGCTGTACAGACTAATTTTAATCTACAATAATGCACAACGTATCAATCGTCTAATTGGATAAGGAATAATGAAGTATTTTTTTAAATAGCTTCGTAATTAACATATATTATTTTTTTTAGGTTATCCTAGGTTGTAGATTATCCTTAGGAGATAGACATATACCATTGCGCACCTTTTTTGTAGATATTTTTATGATTAACAATTTCGTAGTACATTGTTTTGGTCAATCTCGTAAAGTTTAGCCAGCGTTTGCAATGTAAGCGCACATAAACATGTTTTTTACGACAAATTTTTGAAATCTCTACTATATTATACTTATAAATTTCTCTTAAATCACTCTCTCTTTTAATGAAAAACCGCATTAAAATCCGTTGCTTAGTTTAAAAGATCTGAGCGTATACGCTAGTGACTTTATTTTATACTTACTATGTAAAGAAAGTTCCGTGTGGTGACGGATTAAGAATACAGAGTGTCACCACCCCTATTCATCCCGTGGGTGTCGTAAGAGCCGACTAAGGGAAAAAACTACGCAGGACAACAGCACTGCAGAGAGAAGGAAAACTTGACACAAACCCTATACCAACCCGTCTGGCCAGCGTGGTATAGTAGGCCAAAACCTCCTTTCTAAGGAGAGGCTTATGTCCAGCAGTGGACTATTAAAGGCTGTTGATGATGAAAGAAAATACAAAAGTAGTAACCAAGTATTTGTTTCATATATTTAAAGATACATCCATAAGGTGATATAGGTAACATAATAACAATATGTCATAGGTTAATATTACTATCTTACTAAAACTAACTAAATAAATTAACTAACTAGTTAAATATTTTAAAGGCGAAAGTTTGTTTGGATGTTTGTTAATATTTGGCACAAAATCGGCTAAACGGATCGGGATAAATTTGGCACAGAGATAGATTATATGTGGTATGGAATACGCTACTTTTATCGAGGCAAAATGTAGTGTTCCTGTGGGATGATCAAGGTACAACAACAACCGCGGCACGCAGCTAGTATTATATAATTGTGTATTAATGTGTCTAATTTTAGGTGTGCATGAGGTGTTCTGTAAAAGAGCGCATCTCGCCATCAAACGTAACATTTGGAGAGGTAAGGATTAAGTGACGCCTCTGTATTAAATTTTCAATTATTCAAAAAAAAAGCAAATACCCGTGACATTAATTATCTCCACGTCCATCGTAAATGATTCACCAGGCAATAATAAGCTATGCACTAGACGTAGAAATTATTGCTACTTTTAGATCACATTCATTTGATGAAATGATTGGTTTTAGTCAGAGCGATTTCACATGTGATCGTGATTACATTCCATCTCAACTATGCAACGTTGTGTGAACACCTACTACAATTACGTATTGCGGAGCATGGCTCAACACAGGCCAATGTGTACTGGAAGCCTTTACGGAGAATGATACCATGATACCGAAGACTAAATAAAAAAAAAAGAAATGAAGGTAATTTAATGTTTTTATTTATTTTTGTAGTTATTTTAGAGGTCCCTTTGTAGTATGGTTTCACGGTTAAAAGCGTCTACCGTAAAGTAGAGGTATCTATAGAAGGGGAGCCAGAGGAATATAATTTTATGATAAAACCACAGAACACTCAGAAAGCACGTTCTTACTGACCTCTATGAATTAAATGTTTAAATAAGTGTAGATGGACACAAGTCAATGAACATAGTCAAATTGTGTCATTACTACAGCAGAGATGGCGCTTTCAGAAGTTATACACTAATCATTTTTAATTTTATTATTTTATAACATTATACATGTATTTATACAGTGTAGAAGAGTAATGTACAAGAATTTGGTTTTTATGCATTTAAATATGAAATCTTACTGTGTTAGTTACACAAAATAAGTAACAAGAACTAAGCCTTAAGAAATATAACTGTTTAAGAAAAACAAAAGTTATTTATAATATAAATTATTATTTAAGGTTTAGAATATGTATGAAATAGATTTAATTTAATTTTGATTTTAGTGGTCTTATTCCTTTATTTGACCATTTCTATTTTTTACAAGGCATCCCTCACACATTGTTACAGAGTTGCCATCTTTAATTAGTTACCCGCTCTCAGGGGTATAAGGCTTAATAACTTAAAAGCTACAACAAAAAATCTCAAGATATAGGTAAGGTACATGAAGAAGAAATGTAAACAATAAAGAAATATTGAATTATTAGCACCCAAAATCATAATAAAAAATTCTCAATCGGTAAACAGAATATTGCAGACTATTTAACTCATTTTGCCTGACATCAGATTAGCCTCATATATTTCAGAACTTAACTTTTGCTCATCGATTCCATAATTTATTAGAACTCCTTACTTTACCTCTACCACCTACTTCATTTTTGTTGTAAGTAAATCAGGAATTCGATCTTGTAACTCTGTCATCAACTTCACGTCGCTGGCACTGCTGGCAGTTCTTTAATGGCGACCACGGGTGACGGGTCGTGTAATTAAAACTTGACATTATTTACTATTTTAGAGTTATAAGTGTAGGTTCCGTGTTTACGTAAATATGACGGGGATTTTGCCAACATACCAACGTTTTGTAAATGGAGTTCCTGTACCGTCCATATCTAGGCGCTCCTTTCGCCTACGAGAGAAATATTTGATTGTTTCTGTACTTTTGACATTTGGAATCGTGTGGTTAGGTGCTCTGTTCTACCTGCCTGAGTTTAAAAGTTCGAATAGTGTAAACGATAGTGTATACAATGTTTATAAGCGAATTCAGAAAGCTGGCCCTGAGCTACTGATGCCGCCTCCTCTTGCGCAAAATGATGTAGGAGATTTTCCTGTAGTAGGGATTGTTCACCATGGGGGGGAAGGTGATGATCCTCACGTAATTGAGGACAGAAATCGTTTACGGGCGAAGATTGAGGAGGATTCGGGGATGAAAGTGCTGGAGAGACCGCAATTTGATGTAGTTCCATCAATTTCCTCGTCGAAGGGTCCAAGCAAACCACCAGTGGATGCAATTGAGGAGCCAGCAATTGATAAGGTAGCAGGCAAAAATGAGTCACCATTAGGACCTAAAGCTGAAGGCTCTGAAAATAGGTATGTTGCTGTGGCACTGGCACCAGGAGCCAACCCTGACATGAAGCATAAGCTGGATGTTGTAAAACAGGTGAGTTATATTGTTACACTTATTATTATATAGACTGTCAGGCAGTTGAAATAACTGATAAAAGCCTGTATCCTATTAGATCTATTAGTTGTCCTTCTTAATCTTTTAATTTAATATTTTATTTAAATATATTATTATTCTTTAACTAATATATTCTACAAAGATGTTGGCAATTCGGAAAAGGTGGTATACTGTTTGTACAGTATGATGGTCTCTAACCAACCTTGCATCTCTGCAAGGTTTAACTGCAGTAGTTGAAGAGGTATGGGACGCACACATGATGAGAATGCAAATCAATATATTGGATATTCACTCACTCATTCAATTGAATTCCTTGAAATTTAGTATTCTAGCCATATTGTAGCCAAATTAAATTGATTTTTTTATGATAACTGCACTTTTCAAAAAGAAAGAAAAGAACAGAGTTACATAGCCTATATAACCTTCCTCAATATTTTACTATATATAAAAAGATTAATTAAATTGTTAGTTACACTTCGCAATATTGGCATGTCAGTTACTTATTATCAAGTTTCTGCAAGATAAGTGACCATTTATAAGTGACGGATTACTGTTGTAGACCAAGAAGTATTGTTGATGCAGATTGGTAGTTGTGAGATATTCATTAAATTAACTATTAACAATGTTGTGTCAGCTATGCATAGCTGCATAGCTTTGACCTTGCAGAAATACACATATTAGAAATTAATTATATTTATATTCGATTTAATTGTCAGGGATAACATGAACATGTAAATTTTTTATTAGTATGTTTGAAAATTTGTGAACACTGTTACATCACAGTCTGGCAGTGTAGAGGAATGTAGAGTTACCTCTTTAAACTTGAGAGGGCAATAATTTATAAACTGACTAACGTCCAGTGAGTATTTAGAAATACAACTATTATACAGTTACAGCCTAGAAAGTTGGGATATAATAAAAATCTTCCCTCTACATTAACTCGAGGCCAAATATAATATCAAGATATATACCTTAGAAGTGATTGTAAACATAAATATTATTATCAAATATCTTAATGATGCTTAATATAATAAAAAGAAATTGAATGTTTTATGTTTTATTAAAACTGTAGGAGAGCCATACCTAAGGCCAGCAAATATAGGCTGGCCCAACTGGAGTGCCTTCTTTGCTTTTCACTGAAGGGGTGAGGTTTCCAGAGCCCAAACCCCCCCTCTCGGTGATTCTCGGGGGAGACTCAAAGGGTGTGTGTCCATGGGCAGCGGTAGTCACTTGCCTGATGGTAAGTGACTACCGCCGCTAGAGTATTCTGCTGATTTGCCTGCTCTGAAAAAGCCACTTGAAGCACTGCGCCATGTGTAATGTCAAGATTGAAAGCTTTTTTACTTTTATTAAGATTATCTATTTTCTTTTTTAATATATTGTTGTGACTAAAAAGACCATATACCATTGTTCTTACATTCGTAAACCCATATAAAATGTGAATTATTGATATTTTCTCGATTTCCAGGGCACTAGGAATGTTTCTATATAGATCTGTTTACCCACAACTATATCAGTGAACACTTTTGTCGTTTTTTCCGAAATAATGCTGTCGATAATCACTTTATAATAATCATGATAGCGAATTGTGTCATAATATTAACAGAGCTCAAGGTTGTATGATGATTCACCGTACCTAATCATACGCTCTGTAGCACTCAGATATGTTAATATAGGACTGACGCGTAACTAAATCTAACAAAATAATTAAAAACATTTTTTTTTCTGTGTTTTAAAAAGACAACTCCCGCATTAGGCATAAATCCTGTGTCGCGGGGGACTTTACATATACATGAAACATTTACTATACATGAAACGGACACAAAGAACACCCAGACTCAGAACAACAATTTGTGGATCACACAAAGTGTCGTCCCATGTGGGGTTTGAACCCACAACACTCGGCGTAGTAGGAAGCGGCGTGGCGACCGCTTAAACCGCTACGCCATCCGTGCAGTCAATATTGATTGATTGGAATATAATTTACCCCGACATAGATAGGTACTAAAAATTTGATTCAAAAATCGTAAAATCTGTATATGATTTGAAGCAAATATACATCTCCTTATATATATACATAAGGAGATGTGCCTTGTAAATTTAAAATTGTGCAGTTACAACTACGCTCCTACGGTTGCCGCTAGCTTGTCTTTAAATTTACTCAATATATCTATAGAGGAAAAATGTTTTTTTAAGATGAATTTATAAAACTCAATTTCGCTACCACGGTTACAGTAATGGCCGATCATCTACGACAGAAAGGTAACGATACCATACAAATATCAGGACATTGTGCCGTCGTCACGTCGCAAAGGTCACCTTATTGATAAAAGAAACAAGTTATTCGAATTATTATTACAATAGAATTATAACCCCTCGGTCAACATAAATTTATTTATTCCTTGTTCTGTGGTCAAGAGAAATTTAACCTTTTTTTTTCCTTTCTTTTTTTTTTGAGACAACTCCAGCACTATGACTATATCCTGTGTCGCGGGTAACCCGCGACACAGGACAGAAAGAACACCCAGAGAGAAAAGAAATGGACACAAAGAACACCCAGACTCAGACCGACAATTTGTGGATTACACAAAGTTTCGTCCCATGTGGGGATCGAATCCACAACACTCAGCATAGTAGAAAGTGGCGTGGCGACCGCTTAAACCACTAGGCCATTCGTGCAGTCGCCATTAATTTCAAATGTTTCTTTGTTCGTATTTTTTTGCGCTTCTTACTGTTTATCAAATCGTCATGCGTACACATTGATAGAGATACTGCATAGAGTTTTTCGAAGGAACAGATACATTACTTTTTATTGCTCTAGCGAAGCCGCCGGCTAAATCTAGTACAAAATAAAAGGTTGGTTAGGCGACCAAACAGCGTAGGTACGAGTTACTATAACCGTAACCAAACTATATCCCCGTCTCGGTGATCTTAGTCACTATCAGCATCCCGGAATAAAATTGGCCGTCTTATCTCAGTGTGGCAATCATGTATCAGAAATGCAACTTATCGGCACTACCTTATAGTTGTTTTTTTTTATCCCTACTCCTGGAACCTCAAACATGCTCACTGCACACGCTTAATAATGAATGAAATAAGAGTATTATAAAACTAATAAAATACTCTTGCCTCCTACGTTACTGTTATAATTACTCTCATTGTAAATTTTTTTTGTTTAAGTATATTATGAAGTCAATTTGCCTGTGTATGCCCTCAACAATGTTATCAAAGAACTCTGATGATTATTTTTTATTATAAACATAAAAGTTTTCAGTTTCCTATGAGTCGATGAATCGGAAAATCGCATTCCTTACGCAACCGTCTCGTCTCGTCGTTTATTACTTTAAAAAAACCCGATCAAAACTACGCATAATTTCTTATGCGTTTTATTCTTACATAATAATTATAATCAGTTTAACTATATTCGACGCTAGTGCTGGACATATTCGATTAACCACGAAAGCATTATTTACTGATTAGCTTACTCTATTGTTTGACAACTGTTTTTATCGGTTTTATGATTAATTTGCTTAATTAATTAAAATTAAATCAAAGCGTCAATCGATTACGAAATTATATATGACAATTAATTTAATTTAAACAAAAATAAACGATAATGGTTTTGCTTTTTTTGTTTGCATTTAAATTGTTTTTACTTTGCATTTAAATTGTTTTTATTAAGCAATATTAATGACCCTTTGTATTATTTTTTTAGAATTAAATCTTATTGATTTAGAACATTACTTAAATCAATCACAACTTCTTTTTTTAACTTTTTGTAAAGAGCCATTATAATTTAAAATGTCCGATTCATTGTATTTTTTTTAATTCATTCATTCACTTTTGGGCAAGGCAAATTAATATACATTCGAATAAAATCGAAATAGTTAAGTTTATGGTGCATACTTACTTAAAGATCTATTTTATGACTTACAATTTTTTTTATTTAAAAAAACGTCAGGTACGAGTCGAACTCGTGCGCCGAGGGTTCCGTACCTACCCAGATTTTACGTAGATTTTCGCGAAAATTTGTAAGTACCAAAATTTATCTTAATTTTCACTTTATTTTTTGGAATTATTCCTTTATTTATGCTGTAAGACGTTTTATTTTGCCAAATTTCGTTTTTCTGAACTACCATATAGGTTTTTGACCCAAAACCTATAGGGTACTTCCGGTTGACCTAGAATTGACAATTTTGGTTAAAATCAAGGTCTTACAGTACAAGTAAAGAGAAAATTTTGAAAAATAAAGAAAGTTGAAAATTAAGGTAAACTATGGTACTTACAAGTTTTCGCGAAAATTGAAATTTACCCATATCTTTTTATCGTTCTGACTTAGGACCTTGACCACCTAATAGGGACCATAGACCTCAGTAGCTGGTATAAATGTTAACTTGCTAGGTGTACCCGTTAATGAGAAAATAGGTGGTGACACACGGACAGACGGACAAGAAAGTGATCTTATAAGGGTTGCTGTTTTACCTTTTGAGGTACGGAACCCTAATAACAGGTATTGTTAATCACTAATTCACATTCTTATCTTTCCAAGTTTTATTAACTAAAAATACTAATGTACCTATTTGTTTTGCTACGAAGTCATACTTAATTACGCACGATTGTCTTTTACGACCGCGGTTTAGTCGATTTTATAACTTTTTCATGTCATTTAGTAGGTCTAACTATGTGTATGAATTGTTTTGTATCATTTACATGTATGGTGTCACTCAGCCATTGCACGTGGCGAATATGTAGGTACATACTATAATATACTAGATGACCCGGAAAATATGCTGCAATATAAATTATCAAAGAAATTAAATCATGATTAAAAACTGGGAGTAGGGTAGGAGTAGGCTTGCAACGATATATCGGAAAACCATCATCATCAGCTTATCGCAGTCCACTGCTGGACATAGGCACGGTACTATTATAATACAGTACTCCAACTTCATACAAACGGACAAAACGCGAGCTATACCTACGCGCCTCGATCTCGGGGTGCGCTCGGGGCG